GCTTGTCAGAAAAATATTTTAACTTATTCAAATTACTTTAGCTGAATCTATAAAAATTACCAAAGATAAATAAAATATTTTTTGCATCAACAACATGATTCCTAACGGGATATTAGTCAAGTGCAGTGTGTCCTTCAAAAAATCTGAGGAAACTGAACAAGTGCAGAACAAAAGAAGAAGTGATGGGTCTGAAAAAATCAAGCTGTGTATGGCAAATCATCAGTCCTGACACAGGACCTGAGATATGCATCTGGCCCTTGAGCAGATCTAACATTTCTTTGACCTATGCATCTCAGAATGTTCGGTTGTCTGCAGGAGAGACTGCACCCAATTGGACAAGAAACCAACAATGCTTTACTACAATTGACAACATGTTAAATCAAGTCAACATGCCAGCATCTAAAGTTGACCGACCATCATCTACAGACATCTACCACTTGCGTGAGACAGGCTGCAGTGGTGCAACCTCTGTCCAAAGGATTTGTAAAGGTGCAATCTCCAGAAATACCTTATGTTCCTTGACTTGAATGCAGACCAACAGTGCTTTGCAAAATACTGCTAGAAATAAAGGTTTTCTAATGCCCCAAAATTTGCTCTTGAATGTGCTTCTTTTCCACTATCAAACATGTGAGGAAGGTTTGAAAGAATCCAAAATATTATTTAATTTTCACTAATCTAGTTTTGTGTAGTAGAGGCCTCTTTAAAAATGTAGTTGGTCGAATTGAAAAATAAAAATCGTTGTTATTGTTGCTCTTAAAAAAAAACTTTTTAAATTAAATTTCATGTTCATGTAAATTGCATGTTCGTGTCTTTGTTTGTTTGTTTTTAAACCCCTAAGATCTCAGATATTGCTTTCTGTTAAAAACTTAATTTTACATTGCGTAAACATTTCCAGATTATTATCAACCCCGATGTTTAATTTGGTTTGGTTTTAGACAATGAGTTCTGCACTCTTATTTTGAAGCCAAAAAAAGGGATTACACTATACTTTTATTGTGAAGTGGTAGGAAGTGCGTACAGTAGCGACGCCGCTCGACTCATACTGCTTCGGTCCTAAAGTGAAGCTAGCAGTGAGGATGCCGTCGATTGAATACGACGAGTAAGTTCTGTTTGTTTCATTTCATACCGTGAAGTCTATATTGAGCTCAAAATAACGTTCAATTTTCGCATCTGTCTTTCAGCTCCAAGCCCAGCTGGGCTGATCAAGTTGAGGAGGAAGGAGATGAAGGTAAAGAGCCTATTATCAGCTTTAGCTAATGCTAACACATCTGCTGTAGTCCAGTGACTCAAGGAGGAGGCCGGCTAGGCGGTTTCCACTTCCACGTGGTTGTTAGGCGTAAACGTAGAGCTAAAAATGTGTTTACCTGAGACATTTGGGTTGTCTAATTATGCAAAAGCTGGAGTGATATATTCGTGTGATTGACATGGAGTGACGATTTATTGATGAAAAGAGTTACCGATATAT